TTGAGTAGAATAATACTTTTTTTTGTGTTGTCTGGTTGAGTAGAGTAATACTCACTTCTCTTGTCCAGTACATATATGCTTAGCAAAGTTTTCTTCAGAGTCAAAGCCATTCAAGCAACTAGCACAAATCAATTGGATCATCTCCACTCCAGTGACCACTTGTTGTTCCTGACTCTGATCAATGTGAAGGTTCTCCATCTGGATCTCTGCCCATGTTTCTTGATGGTTGTTGATAGGAGCTGCAAAAAAGAAATAGAAAATGTTTGTTGCTTTATTTAGTTTTTTGATAAATACAATTTTAGTTTAATACATAACTGTGCAAAGCATATCTCTAATGGTATAAAGCTATCTTGACATATCTACTGAGTAAGTCTTTCTTTGAGAGGACAGTGCTGTAACTACTGAAGATGTATGATTATCCAGAAAGACCACATCCTTTAACTCACAGTGGTCAAACTTGTATTATCCTGATGTTCCTCATTGTGTTATCACAGATCCTACATGGCTTTACATTGTGGCTAAACTGACTAGACTTATCTACTGACCTTAACAAGTGGGATAAATGACTTGGTATTATCCTGGTGGTCCTCAGTATATTCTGGTGGATCCATACGTGGATAAACTGACTACTTATCTATTGACCTTAACAAGCTGGATAAATTACTTGGTATTATCCTGGTGTTCCTCAGTATATTGTGGTGGATCCATATGTGGATAAACTGACTAGACTTATCTACTGACCTTAACAAGTGGGATAAATTACTTGGTATTATCCTCGTGTTCCTCAGTATATTGTGGTGGATCCATATGTGGCTTTACATTGTGGCTAAACTGACTAGACTTATCTACTGACCTTAAGAAGTGGGATAAATTACTTGGTATTATCCTGGTGTTCCTCAGTATATTCTGGTGAATCCATATGTGGATAAACTGACTAGACTTATCTACTGACCTTAACAAGTGGGATAAATGACTTGGTATTATCCTGGTGTTCCTCAGTATATTCTGGTGAATCCATATGTGGATTTACATTGTGGATAAACTGACTAGACTTACTTATTGACCTTAACAAGCTGGATAACTTACTTGGTATTAACGTGGTGTTCCTCACTGAATGCTGGTGGATCTTCATGTGGCTTTTAAGCATACTTCTTTTGAAGAAACCTACACAGATATAATCCATTCATTAATCAGTGAGTCCAATCTTTGATTAAGAATTATCAATTTCACTAGACTTCTCAATTAAACTGCTGCTTAGAAAAGGCCGGTTCTTTAAATCAATCAATTAATCACTGATACTAACTACAGTTGATGTATTTTCAACTGATACATAGCAACTATGCTATTTACTCATCTCATCCTGGATTCCTCTTTGGTTTGACATACTTGTTCAAGAAACATAACTTGTGAATAAATAATACAGGTTAATCCCATCTAATATAACTTGTGAATAAACACAACAGGCTAATCCCATCTAACATAACTTGTGAATAAATAATACAGGTTAATCCCATCTAATATAACTTGTGAATAAACAATACAGGCTAATCCCATCTAACATAACTTGTGAATAAATAAAACAGGCTAATCCCATCTAACATAACTTGTGAATAAATAATACAGGTTAATCCCATCTAACATAACTTGTGAATAAACACAACAGGCTAATCCCATCTAACATAACTTGTGAATAAATAATACAGGCTAATCCCATCTAACATAACTTGTGAATAAACACAACAGGCTAATCCCATTTAACATAACTTGTGAATAAATAATACAGGCTAATCCCATCTAACACAACTTGTGAATAAACACAACAGGCTAATCCCATTTAACATAACTTGTGAATAAATAAACAGGCTAATCCCATCTAACATAACTTGTGAATAAACACAACAGGCTAATCCCATCTAACATAACTTGTGAATAAAC